CAGTACAACAGACTGACAGACAAGTAGTGGAAGACATTCCTAAGTAAGCAGAAATTTAGGGAATTTGTAAAAATCGCATCAGTCTTGTTAGAAGTATTGAAGGAAGTCCTTTGGCTGGGAACCTGTGACATCACACAACATGACATAAGGTCACATGACAACATCACTCAGGCACCAACTCACATAAATATTTCACAACAGTAATATTAGGGTATGACACTGACTGTATGGAGTCAGAAGTGTTAAGCTGTAAACAGTGACAAGATCAAAAAAAATCAAAGGAGGAATAAAAGGTGCACTTATAGAACATCCATATGGAGAAGGAGTCAAGATGATGTCAGGACACAGTGGTGGTTGGTGGTTATGTGCCATGGAGTCAGTTCCAACTCACAGCAACCCTGTACAGGGTTTCCGAGGCTGTAAATCTTTATGGGAGCAGAAAGCCTCATCTTTCTCCCGCGGAGCAGCTGGTAGTTTTGAACCGCTGACCTTAAGGTTCGCAGCCCGATTCGTAACCACTACGCTACCAGAGCTCCTTTCAAGACATAGTAGACTGTTTTAAATTTAAGAGGCTAAAAGTAAACTTTAGGGTAACCACAAGTAAATTAATGCCACCAAAATAAAGAAAATAGTTACTAAAGACTCAGTAAACATAAAACAACAGTGATACAGGAAAAGAAAACCTATATACAAAAACAACTCAGTATGGAAAATAAAGAGAAACAAAGAAACTGTTAACACCACAAAGAAATTATAACAAAATGACAACAATGAATTCAGACCGGCCATTAATCACACTGAATGTAAATGGGTTAGATGCACCATCAACAGACAGAGAATGGATGAAGTATGTTCGTTCTCATCAAAGCATTCCAGAAGGAAATTGAGAAGGAAATCTGTCAGTTCTCTGGTGAAGAATTATTATCAGTTTATTGTAAGAGTGTCAGGTGCATTTTTATTCCCATCAGAGCTAATAGATTAGAGATTCATTCAGTGGTCCTGGTGTAGTGCTGTGGGATAAGTGCTGGACCTCAAAGTTCAAATCACCAGCCACTCCTTGGAAACCCTATACAGGGTCGCTATGAGTCACAACTGACTCGACGGCACTTAACAACAACAGTTTTCAAGAGAGTCTTCCAATTCCTTACTTCCTTAAAATGCACATGTACACAAACTGCTCTCATACCATATTTAATCATTAAACTATCCAGTGCAGCAGGTTATCCAATGCAGTCATCATACCTTTAAGCAGAGGATGAAATTCGGGTTTCTGTGGCTAAGTGGTGTGTGAAGGTTATATCAAGAACTTAGGTCTTGATGTTAAACTATTTTGGAAGATAATCCTCCCTGCCTCATTTTCTTAAGTAGGAATTTTTGGGATGTTTCCTAGGAACTTACCCTCTACTAAGTGGACTGCCTGTGGAAAAAGACCACCCTTAACTCAGCTCTGTTCCCTAAGTATCTGTCACAGTACTCTGTCCAAACTGGTGTTCTCAAATTTGACAGAACAAATGATATTCAACTCTTTCACTTAGGTTAGGTAGCATTAAGCACGTAACTATTACTAATAAGCATGGTACCTGGATTTACTATGATCCACAACCTATTACAGTTTTCTAGTTTTATACAACAATTAGTATTTACTCTTCAGAAAGTGTATACAGGGTTGCTTTGGATTGGAACTGACTCAAAGGCGATTTCACCACAGCAATAATTATTTGCAGGCTAAATAGAAATCATTATAATCCTAAAGGCTTTTGAAATCTATTTGCCACTCTCTGTCTAAAGTAAATTTTTGGCATCTCAATTTTAAGAAAAATGTGTTACCAAGAGTCATGAATTGTAATCAAGAATTAGCACGCTTCCAGCACAAACCCTTTTTACCTCTGCAGGTTATAAGGGTTTCCTCTGGGGCCATAAATTCCTTTCTCTAGCTGTTTCATGATCACATATTCCTCACAAATATTCCACATATTGGATAAGATTTGCCACAAGGACACAGGGCAATTTTCTGAGAAGTACTTTTAAAATGGGAGTGTTTTCAATGGTGTCACCAGATGTTTCACTCCCATTTTGTTTTCGTGCACAGACATGCGAATATGTTGTTTAATAAGTACCTTGTCCATTTAGTCTATCACTGTATCTTCTCAGGCTGTAATCACTTCCTGTCAGATTTGCCAGGACTAACAAAACCAGTTGTCTGTTTTTGTTTTCAAGAGAACCTTATAATGGTTTTCTTACTTTTGGAGCAGGAAAAACATTTTGTTGTAGTGTGGATTTGTTTTTTGTTTATGTTTTTTTTGGCTCCCAAAGTGCTTCAAAGCACTAGGCTCTGCGAACTTCAGTATGAGTGTGAGCTCAGTCATTCTGGCTTTGGGTGCATTTTAAAAAGATTTGGAGTCTCTGGATGGTATCAATGGATAACACACTCCCACGCTCCACTGCTAACAGAAAAGGTGGAGGTTCAGTTCCCTCAGATGCCCATTGGAAGGAAGGTCTGGCGATGTACTTCCAAAACACCAGCTACTGAAATGCCTCTGCAACACAGTTCTTCTCTGACATATTTGAGGTTGCTGTGAATCAGAATAGACTCAATGGCAGCTGGGTTTTAGATTTAAAGTTGACTTTGCACCAGCATCCTCTTGGTTTTACCCAAGTCACACGTTTTCAGTTTAGCATCATTTTGTCCACAAATTCCAAACACTTAATTGCCACATCATAGTGGGGTTGGCAGCTAGGAAGTAAGGCTCAGTGTGGGTTCAAGGGCTTGTTACCCATATGCAGACATCTTCAGCAGAGCTTCCTCTTCCCATGATTCCATGAACTGGTATGTCGCTCCCACGGTTGGAGAAAGATGTTCTTAAAACATACAGTAATATCTTTAAAGAAAACAGCATTAGTAGTTAAGAACATGGATTTGGGATTCAAGTTGCCTGGGTTCAAATCCCAGCTCTACATATTTCATTCATATCACAGACAGAAACTGAAATGCTAGAGTCATCTTATTATTTGCATTAATAGTAAAGCATCTATAGGGTATGTACCTTCACAAACACAGATAACTGTTGGAGGAGCTACTGTTACCTCGAGGAGGACTTAAAATAACTGCTTGATGAAAATCAAAGACTACAGCCTTCTTCCATGTGAATTACACCTCAATGGAAAGCAAAGACAACATCTCCACAACTGAGCCAAGAAATGGCATCATCATAAATGGAGAAAAGATTGAAATTGTCAAAGCCTTCATTTTGCTTGAATCCACCTTCAACAGTCATGGAAACAGCAGCCAGGAAATCAAAGAACATACTGCAGTAGGCAGACGTGCTGCACAAGACCTCTTTAACGTATTCAAGAGCAGAGATGCCAGTTTGAGGATGAGCTGAGCTTGACCTAGGCCATGGTATTCTCTCCTGCCTCATATGCTGCAGTGAAAAGAAATGAAATAAAAGAAAGTTGGACAGTGAATGAGGAAGACGGTAGAAGAATTGAGGCATTTGAGTTATGGTGTTGGAGTCTTCCAGCATTCAAAGTACCAGGAGCTGCCAGGAGAACAAATAAATATGTTGAAAGAAGTACAGCCAGAATGCTCCTTGGAAGCCATGATGGCAAGACTTTGTCTTTATACTTTGGACATGTTATCAGGAGGGACCAACCCTGGAGAAGGACATCATGCTTGGTAAAGTGGAGGGTCAGCAAAAAAGAGGAAGACCTTCAGTGAAATGGAGTAGCACAGTGGCAGCAGATAGGGCTTAAATGTAACAGCAATTGTGAGGATGGCACGGGAACCATCGGTTTTTCCTTCTGTCGTGCATAGGGTCGCTATGAGTCAGAACTGACTGGTTGGCTCCTAACAGCAACTGTTACCACAAATCTGTGTTAAGTTCAGTACTTCATACATTCATCAGCACCTTTTTAATAGAATGGGCTAGAGGTGGACTCCCTATGAATCCATCCACCATCCCATTTGTTGGCTCCCATTTTATGGTTCATTCTTGTCACCTTTGCAGTTACTTTTAACACAAAAGAGAGTCAAACAGACTCTATAGGAAAACTCTATAATATTCATTCTACTCAACTCATGTTACCCCAGGATTCATTTTTCTAATTGTATAGCATTTTCCTCAAACCTATTAGGAGTCCCAGACCTCAACTGAATTCATCTGTACCCAGGCACAGATTACTATTAGTTTGCATTCACTTAGTAATTCATTTCAAAGAGACTTTGTTGCCCCAATCATTGTTCTAATAGTAATGATCCTATCAAGCAGTGAAACATGGGCAGAATACTCTTTGTACCTTGGGGTTCTTATGTATAAAATTAGGAACATGCTTGTACTTCCTCATAAAGTTGTCATTGTAAGCATGTAAAAGTTCATAGAACAATGCTTAGGACATAGAACATTCTCAGGAAGTATCAGTTGTCATTGTTGTTACTGTTGCCACTACTGTGTTATTTTTATATAATCTGTTTCTGTCTGTTGGTCACCCTGTGTCTTGGGCAACTAAGCTGTTCTCTTTTTCTTCTAGGAGCAAAAAAGGAAAGAGCAATAGGGTGTTTTTCCCCTGACTCCTCCTCTTCCCCCATACACTGTAGTCCGGAGCATAACTGTCCTCAGCATAGAAAGGAGAGACAGTCTGTGTTTCAAGGAAATACATTGCACTACAGGCGTTATTGGACACTAACTACCTGTCAGAAAAATCATTAGCAAGGTCTTTTCACAGTTTACATGAGGACATGTTGCATAGGGATGTTTGCTTAATAACCATAGCTTCTTGCAATGTAGAATCTGGCTCGACTTCAGCCGGGAACTTTCTTTAACTTTATGTTGCGTTTTCTAGGAGAAAATTTGAAGAGATACTGAGAAAAAAAAAAAAAAGTCTATTTTGAATGGATGGGATTTAATGAGAATCTCATTTTTTTTTGAGTGTATTAATTTTTTAATCCAGTGGCAGATTAAATCGATGCTGGGTATATTAAACAAAGTATTTTTCTTTTAAAGATATTCTGGAGTGTGTACAATAATATCCCTCCTGTGGCTAGCCTGCCTTTGAGATGTAGTTATCATTTAATGAGAGGAGAGAGGCGACCACTTTGGTAAGTGTCTAACATGCAATTTGAGGTTAAGGTGGGAGGGAAATGGTTATGAACCTCATAAAATATTTACTTCATGCCGAATTGGAATACCAAAGTAATTGTCTCTCAGTGATGCTGGAAAGTAATTTTAGCTATTACTTAATTATGAAATGAGCCCGTTCTCACCAGCCCCCTCACCTTGGCCTCCAAGGTGATGAGCAGCTCGGTCTTCATCCCCTGAGCCCGCTCCACTCCGTTTCATTTTGACCATGAAGAGGTCATTAGTGTTACAGTGAAGATGCAATGTGGTCTTTTGTGTGGGGTGCGACATCATACTTGTTCATTAATGACCTGGCCAGTGGAGTAAAGAAGCTTATGGACTGGTGGGGTGATGGGGAGACAATTGTGGTACCCAAGTCTATTGAACTGCTGGGCAGAACTATCACTTCAGGCTTAGCTCTCACATGGGCACAGGTCTGTGATGCTGGCCATGGGTCAGGGTCTAGTGGGAGGTGCGTTTTTTCTTTGATAGCTTAGGATAGTGATAAGAGTGGAGGTCTATAGTGCTTGACTTTTATATCATTTTTCTCAAACTTTTGGAATTATTTACTAATTTATTTAAATGAAATGTATTTCAGCTTCATTTGCTTGTAAATGACATAAATCTAATTTAAGCTAAAGATGATGTTTCTTTTTTGTTGTTGTTGTTGATCCTGTTAACTAAGAAGTCCACTGGTAGAATGGATTTCTGCCACCTTTAGATCTGGGTGCACAGATGTTATAAAAAATCCGATGTTCTCCACCAGAGCTGCATAGCTTTCCTCTGTGTTGGTTTCATTTTGGGGGATGGCTCTCCCATTTGGGGTGGCCAGAGGACCTCCAGAACCTCTGCCACCCTACAAGTTTCACAGTGTAAACATTTGCCAGCTCCCAGACCTAGCTCTCATTGGTCCACTTTGTATCACCTTTGCATTCCTGGCCAACCACAAAGATGAGGAAGGGCACAGCTGTCACGGGCAGACTTGGTTCACAAGCCCACCTCTAAAGCCAAGGTGTGGGATCAGCCCTGCCTAAACTGCTCTGACGTAAATGGGAACACATAGCTCCCTAAATGGGAATTGGGTTCAGCTGCTCTTTGGAAACCCTATACAGGGTTGCAGTGAGTTGGCATCGACTCGAAGACACTTTACAGTAACATCAGCAGCCAGAAAAAACGGGAGCAGATCTTAAGTGGGCAAACGTGGCAAATGCCCACTGCAGTGACCGAGTCACTTTGGGTCTGTGATATTGGTTGGCATGAGAATCAAAAGACGGCAGTGTCATAAATGTGTCACACGTTGTGAGTATGTCTGTCATGCACACGTGTACATGAGGAAATTGTCTTAACCTTCCAGCCCCAGATAATCCACACAGCCTCCAGAGCATCATCCCGACCAGAAGCATGAGCACTTTATGTTGCTTCATTCTCTGTGCCCTTGTGGCTACCAAATTCCACTTTCTTCCCTCCCCATATCATTCCCTTCTTTTTTGTACCATCTGCATCGATAGATTAAGCATTGGACTGCTAACTGCAAGGTCAGCAGTTCAAACCCACCAGCTGTTCCTCAGAAGCAATATAAGGGTTCTTATGAGACAACCAACTTGATGGCACAAAACAACTTCCATTTGTAACAAAAGAACCAGGGGAGAGTTCATTGAAGAATAGCTGATCGTTTTTGTTTTTAAGACATTTGAAACTACTGTCCAACTAAATGTATGAAACATATACTGGATCTAAATGTATGTGGGACTACTTAATCTGGGAGAATAACTTTAAACTTTGTCTTTGACCCAGGGAAGAAGAGAGTAATGCAAAGGGTGGCGTATGGAAAATGAAAGTTCCTAAGAACAGCACGGTATGTAATGTTGGTTCTGGTTGCTTTCTGGAACATGCTGAGCTCAGGGCTGTTGCTGTTTGTAGGTGCTGAACATTTTGTGCTTTTCCAGAAACCTGTCTGGTGGTCTTGGTACAGGACAGTGGGTGAGAAATTCTGGTTTGACCTTGACGATTTTCTGCCTGACATTGTCTGTGGGGTTTCTCTACAGAAATGTTGTGATCCCGTGATGGATCGTGTGATGTAATCTGTGAGAGCTAGAAGCCGATCCGCTTCACAGGAACACCAACTGTCATTAGACGGCCTTGTCCTCACCAGCCATAACGAACTGTGGAAGTTGACCTTATACCATGGAATCTGGATCCTTCCCACCCAAAACTTGTCCCTTCTCCCACAAAAACTCAACCCACTGCCATGCAGCTGATTCCAACTCATAGCAACCCTAGAAAACACAGTTAGAAGTGCCCCGTAGGGTTTCCATGGCTGTGAATTGTTACTGAAATACACAGCCACATCTTTGTCCCATGGAACACTTGGTGGATTTGAACCACCAGCCTTTCCGTTAAAAGCCAGTGCTTAACCCACTGTGCCACCAGGGTTCATTTGTCCTTTCTCTACTTGAAGACAAAAGCAGTCGTGACAGTGACCAAGCCCACCGTGAGATGGAGCCACCAGGGACCCCTTGGCATCACGCTATTCTTTGGGGTTTCATCAAGAAACTGTGCCCAGCCTCCCTCAGACACTTCCATTCTCCAGGAGAGGTTTTTATCCTTGGCATATCCATTTGGGCTCTAATTCATTGTATTGCCTGAAACAAACATTCCGATCTGTTAAATCTGTTGTGTCTTGAGCCCTGGGAAACCAAACAGCTTCTTTGAAAATGGATGAAAGGGCAAATATTACCCTGTCTCACCTCTTGGTGGTTTCTTTCATGTGGATCAACTCAGAGAATTGAAATGTGTCTAGAAACCCGAGTGCTTAAACTGTAGGCATTTCCCTATAAGCTGGGCCCAGATTTATTTGTTAAAGGTGCAAGCTGTTAGTCAAAATGCATAGTTCCAAGTCTGACTGTTATTTGTCTTACGATGAAGAATATTCAGGGGAATACATATCAAACCAAGCACAGCATTTCAAGTCCCCTTTACCCCAGAAAAAGAAGGGGAAGCAGAGAATGGTCCATTCTGGTTTTTGTTTTAATTTCAGTGGGAGCGCGTTTTGCCTTTTCATGGTTTTTAGTTAGTCACGCTAGACTTTGAGTTCTAGTACAAACAAGCATGATGTCAGCATCAGTTGAGAAGTGGCTGAAAGGCAATTTTGTCCTTTCAGTCCTTATTAGCCCACTTGGCCACACTCACTCACAGATAGTTATGGCTTCATGTCTGTACAAGTGCCCTCGTCCTGAGCAGTTCAGCCCACTCTTAATGGTAGATGAGTAGGATTCAGACAGACGAGTGAATGCTCACCTTCCCTGACCTCTTTCTCCACCCTCACCTCTTCACTCACAATGTAGGAGACTGCACTTGGGGCAGAGAGGAGGTGGATGATTTCTAGATGCCAGACAAGCAGACCAGAAGGAAAACGCAGTGAAAGGCAGGAACACCCCCACCGCACCCTGGTTAAGTGCCAATTTATTGTGTTCTGAAGTGCCATTGAGTCAGTTCTGACCCATCGTGACCCTGTATAGGATTTCTGAGGAGCAGCTGGTGAGCTTGAACTGCTGAGCTTGCAGTTCAAATGGCTTTGCAGTCTGGCATATTACATTAACACACAGCACCACACCAGGACTCCATAGCCGTGGTTAAAAATCCAGCTGACCACTTTACGTTTATTAGAACATAATCATGCTAAACACTAGTGTTAACATTAATATGTATTGAGCATCTAGCTTGTATCAAGCACACAAATAAGGGGCTTTCAAAAAGTTTGTGGAAAATTGTATTATCTTCTAATTCCCTTTTGTCTACAAACTTTTTGAAGCCTCCTTTTATTTCTGGAATGGATCTTGAATACTTTTGAGCACTTTTGTTACAAATAAAAGGAGGGTACTCTGCTCATCTCTTTGAATGCAGTAATTGATTCACTTCATGCTCACAACACCCCTGGGAGATCCGCTGTATTATTCCCTTGTTCACTGAAGGAAGCTGCTACTTAGGGAACTTGAGGAGCCATCCAGGGTCACAGACAGTGGGCAGTCTGGCAGGATCAGAACCCAGCCCTGGGAGCCTCCAGAGTCTGTGAACAAGGAAGATAGTTGGTCCTAAGAACGTTTCAAGGGGTATCATGGAGAGAACTTAGAAGTGACTGTCTGGTACCTTGTAGAAGGTAAAATAGCCACCCACTGACTCTTCCAGGGAAATGCATACATGCATAAAGTTATATTACTTAGGATAAACAGTGTGCCACAAATTAATGCAAGTTTGTAAGCTACACTGGACTGCTGACCTCAAGGTTGGTAATTCTAACACATCAATTGACCGACCCTAGAAACCTTACACAGGGTTGATATGAGTCGGAATCGACTCAAGGATGCTTAACAACAACAATATTCAATAGAGTTGCGGGTTACACGTTAGGCAGCTAGTTGCAAGGCCAGCAGTTCGAATCCAGCAATCGCTCTGCAAGAGAAAGATGAGGTTTTATGCTAAACATTTACAGCCTCAGAAATCCTATATAGGGTTGCTCTGAGTCAGAACCACCTTGGTACACAGCATCAGCAGTAGCAGTAACAGTCTTTGATAAACCAGAAATTTCCCGAAGTATTCTTTACTTGTGCAATGTTTGAAGTCATAAGCTGTAAAGAAAGGACGAGAGGGAGGATGGGAGAGAGAGCAGAAGGGAGAAGGTTTTTAAGACAAAGATTTTGTTAATGGTGTTCAAATATTATCAGTTGATACTCTGTGAACCCATGAGAGGTAAAGAAATGGGGAAATTATGAATCATTTGAATGCATTTTTATTTTTCCCAGTTCAACTGAACTTCAGGGATTTCATTAGAGATAAACATCTTCAAGTCTATCACTTGTCATAGAGGGTTCAGAAAGTTCATGGAAAAATTTCATTATCTTCTCATTGCATTTTGCCACAAGCTTTTTGAAGCCCCCTCATATCTATCGCTGTAAAATTATTCACCAGTGAATAAGCCCTGGTTGTAAGTGTTTGCACCTGCAATTTGGTGATGTCTGCGGGTTCCAGATTTAGGCATGGCAATGCATATGAAACTGAAGAAAGTGTAACATGTGTAGCTCCTGGGGATAATTGTCTGAAAATATGTATGTGTTGTTTTTGTAGTTTTTTTGTTCTGTTTTGTTTTGTTTTTCACTCTTTTCTCGTATCAGTCCACAGTTTGGAAGGAGTTGTTGTTAGCAACCATCGGGGAGCAGTTCACAGACTGTGCTGCCACAGGTAAACGAGGCACACAGCCTTGCTGTGTGTGTGTCCATGCATCTGTGTGTGTTTGCCTCATTGTTGGCACATGCAAAAGGATTTGTGCTTGTGTGTCTGTGTGACCGTGTAGCTGTTTATATATTTTGAAGTCATTTGTTTTGTAACCACAGTTACTTAGATGATTTTTTTTTCCCCATGTGATTGTGGTGTTTGGTGTATGTGTGTGTGTGTATTAGCAACTACTAAAAGGTCACCCCTGTGGGGGATGGATTTATTTTTTAACTCCTCCTTGGTCAGAATTCTAGAATGCTATAAATATATTCACTCCAGACTTCCTTGCTATCAGTATGATTGCAGTTCTTTGGCTAAATATTTGAATCAGATTAGCAGCTAGTTTTATATTCATTGCCACTGAGTTCATTCTGATTCGTAACTACCCTATAGGACAGTAGAATTGCCCCTTAGGGATTCCAAGGATCTTTCCAGAAGTAGTATGTCATATCTTTTTACTTTAGAGCAACTGGTGAGTTCCAACCATTGACTTTTCAGTTAACAGACAGCAGCGCTTTAATAATAGACTGTATCTGGTGTGGTGCTGTGGGGTAAAGTCAGTGTGAACCACAAGGTCAGCAATTCAAGCTCACCAGCCACTCCTCAGAAACCCTATACAGGGTCACTGTGAGTCAGAACCAATCCAACAGCCCTTCACAACAACAACGTACCAGCTAAATCTCCTTCAAACTGCAGAGTTATGAAGGAACCCCAAATGCAAGCAGCTAAAATATACAGGTGAACATATGAGGGAGTTCGCAAACAGTTCGTGGAAAAAATTCCATTGTCTTTTGATTCTGTTTTCCCATGAACTTTTTTGAAGCTCCCTCCTAAATTCGTAAAATATTACAAGGGTTAGAAGAATTTTTCTGTAAAGAGCTAGATAGATAGTAAGACTTTGGGGACCCAAGAGTCTACAGTTGAGTTGCTCAAGTGTGCCATTGTAGCATGAAAACAGCCAGAGATACCACATAAATGGACTAGCGTGCCTGTGTTTCACTAAAGCTTTGCTTACAAAAACAGGAAGACAACTGGGTTTGGCCTGTGGGCTGTAATTTACCAACTTCTCTCTTAGAGGTACAGACAGTGGTATCAGACCATAAGACATAGAGCTTAAAAATATTTTTTCTTTGCATCCTATGCTTGTATGTTGTTATGTGCTGTGGAGTCGGTTCCGACTCATAGCAACCCTGTACAGGTTTTCCGAGGCTGTAAATCTTTACAGGAGCAGAAAGCCTCATCTTTCTCCCGCCGAACAACTGGTAGTTTCGAACTGCTGACTTTGCGGTTCGCAGCCCGATTCGTAACCACTACGCTACCAGAGTTCCTAGGCTTGTATATATATGTGTGTGCATATGTATAGGTGATGCATGTATGAGGGGGCTTCAAAAAGTTCATGGACAAATGGAATTAAAAGATAATGGAATTTTTCCATGAACTTTTTGTAGACCTTTCGTTTGTATGTGTACACATCAGAATTTTCTCTCATAGCTGAACCTCTTAGTGTCCACAGAGATCTGCTCCAAATGAATTTGCCTAAAGAAGAGGAAAAACTTGACCTCATTTGGATTCTTAACACCATTAGTAACACTTTCCTTTCCATTGTGTCCAGTCTTCCAGAGGGGGGTGTGCCTGAGGAGTCCAGTGAGATGTGTGTGTAGCTGGGCAGGCACCGTCCTTTTTGACCCTCTCAGTTCCTGTCCCTTCCTCTCTTGGTCCCCTGTCTCAAAGAGGATTCCATGCCTAGGCAGGGACACCCTCCCTGTGAAAACAGAAAGGCTCCACAAGTTTACTTTGGAAACCACTTTCAGATATTGAGTGAATTTCTGAGAGCCTCAGTGAGTACATTTTGTTTTGTTTTGTTTTGATCGTGAGATCACTCAAAGAGAAGAATTTAATTGCTTGTTTAAAATTTTGTTTTCTTCTTGGGTCGTTACTTCTGAATGCTCCTGAGGTAGCATTTAGAGTAACATTTTTCCTGTGCAGCTTGCAGTTTAGATTTGGAAAAAACAAAACAAAGAAAACCTTGTTTTTTATTGTTAAGTGCCGTCAAGTCGGCACCAACTCACTCCTAGCATTCCTGTGCACAACAGAACCCGAGACACTGCCAGACCCTGCTCCATCCTCACAACTGCTGTTGTGTTTCAGTCCATGGTTGCTTCCAATGTGTTAGTCTGTCTCCTGAGGGGCTTCCTGTTTTGCACTGACCTGCCTTCACCATCCCACCCATTGGGATTGAGTGATTGGCCTTACATGAGGGGCTACCTTTGGAAGCCCTGTTGTTGTTAGCTGCTGTCACATCGTTCGCTAGACTGCATCGGCAGTTCAAGTTCACCAACTGCTCCCTGGAAACACTCTACAGGGTTGCTATGGGTCATTCCTCAGCTCTTGGCTCCCCCTCCCCCATGTTACAGGGTAGAACTCCATAGGGCTGTCTTGGACATAATCTTTATGGAAGGAGCCCTGATGGTATAGTGTCTAAGTAACTCTTGAAAGGTCAGTGGTTCAAACCCATCTCCATTCCCTGGGAGAAAGCGGTTGCAAACTGCTTCCACAAACATCGCTGCTGTTGTGAAGTGCCATCAATTTGGTTCCAACTTTGGCAATCTTGTATAAGGTTTCCGAGGAGTGATGGGTGGCCAACTTGATGGCAATCTTGTATAAGGTTTCCGAGGAGTGACGGGTGGGTTTGAACCACCGACCTTGTGAAACCCTGTTAGTAGAGTGGGTTACAAGATGGGCTGCTAACCTCAAAGTCAGCAGTTTGAGCCCACCAGCTGCTCCATGGGAGAAAGATGAGGCTTTCTGCTCCTGTAAAGATTTACAGCCTCGGAACCGACTTGACGCCACTTAACAACAACAACAAAGATGTATAGCCTTGGAAACCGTACACAGTCATTATAAATTGAAACTGACTTGATGGCACACATTTACACCACCGCCACCGCCGTTGGATAAAGAAGACCTGTTCTATGGTTGACTTTAGGAAGCTGGAATACTAGTAACTGTTAACCGTTAGTACTTCCATTCAATAGCTGTGCACCTTTAAACAAGTCAGCTGACCTCTCTAGATTGCACCGCTCATCTTTAAACAGATGCTCTTAGCACTGAGGTCTTCTGCGGACAATACACTGAAATGATCAAGGTTCTGCTGGTTGGTTCTACTTAGCAATGCTACCTTAATGCTAAAGGCGGACAGGTCTGCCTTTGCCTTTGACTGGCATAGCAAAAGATGTATGTTAGTGGATTCCCTGGCTGTGCTTAGGTGCCAAAAGCCAAGCCAACCTGAAATATCGACAGCTTTCATCAGTTAGCACCCTGCCACCAGTAGGGCTGAAATGAACAACATCACCAGTAGGGGAACACTGGTATTTCCATGACAAGTTGGTCTGGTGATTTCATAGTGGTTCTTGAAAGTGCTAAACCATGGAGTTTTCTTCTTTCTCATAAAATGTATACTGAACTCTCATAAGCATATCTTCATAGTGGAAATTGAAAATAAGAAATTTTTATAAAACATCTCTTGATGAGATAATAAATTTCTGTGGGTACCATGATAAGTACTTTTTTGGGACATTTTTAATTGAATATGACACATATACAGAATTGGATGCAAACTATACATGAGTGGCTTTTTATTTTATTTTAAAGTAAACATGATCTTCTAACTAGCATTCAGGTCAAGTTGTGGAATGTAATCAGCGTCCCCGTTTCCCAACCCCACCCCCGCCATGTAGAACTTCCCTAATCTCTCTTCCTGCTTGTTGTTACCCTCCTCTCCAAGGTGGCCACCAATCCAACTTCTAACCCCAATAACTTAATTTTACCTGGTTTTGAACGTTTATCTAAATGGAGACATTTAGTGTAAAGTCATGCACACGGTAGTATTGTTGTTAAGTGCCGTTGAGTCAGTTTTGACTCATACCAACCCCGTATAGAGTTTCCAAGGAGTGGCTGGTGGGTTTGAACTGCCAGCCTTTTGGTTAGTAGTTCAGTGCTGATCCTGCAGGCTCACACCATATATAGCATGTTGTTATTATGTGCTATTGAGTGGGTTCTGACTCATAGTGACCCTGTATAGGGTTTCCAAGGCTGTAAATCTTTGTGGGAGCAGAAAGCCTCATCTGTCTGCCACAGTGGCTGGTGGGGTTGAATTACAGTCCAGTGCTTATCCTGTAAAGTCACCGTGCTCTCCATATACATTTGTTGTTGTTGTTTAATGCCATCGATTAGGTTCCAACTCATAGCAACCCTGTATAGCGTTTCTGAGGAGCAGCTGGTAGATTTGAACCTTCCAATTCATACTGATGATGGTGTCCAATGTTTATCCCATAGAGGCAGACCAGGATTCCATATACATTTAATGTTGTTAAGTGTTGTCGAGTCGGTTCCGACTCATAGCGACCCTGCATAGTATTTCCAAAGAGCAGCTGGTGAGCTTGAACCACCAATCTTGCAGTTCAAACTGACCTTGCAGTCCAGCTCATTAACTCACAGCACCACACCAGGACTCCATATATACATTTCCGCAGGATCAAATTCACATAGAAAAGAAAGATGGAAGGGAGGGAAGAAGAGAAAGACAGGGGAAAGACATTATTTTACTCAAATTCCTTTAGTCAGTTGGACATGTCCCTATGTAAATTTCACCTACATACTGGAATGCTTTAACCTCCCAAAGGTAAGTGAGCAAGCCGATGATAGAAATATGTATATTTGAAGAGACTAGCAAATTTGGCCTCTTAGGCAAAATGTATTAATTAAGACAAAATTCCCATATTATGATCAAGCGTATCTTTTACAAAAGAGCCCTAGTGGTACAGTCAGTTAAGCACTGGGCTACAACTGCAAGGTTGGTAGTTCAAGACCTCCTACTGTTCCATGGAAGAAATACGAGACTGTCTTTTCCCTAAAATATCTGCATTAGATATTTTAGCATTAGAAAACCCTGTGGAGCAGTTCTCCTTTGTCTTGTAGGGTGAATGTGGGTCAGCATCAACTGGACGGTAATGGGGTACCTTTCCCACTGACTCATAGGTGCTCAGGACACAAGTGTCATCACATAGTGTGGACACCTGAAAGCGTACCACTGAAGAGTCTTGTGAACTTAGGGGCTGCAAGACAGCACGTAAAGCTACAGCAAAACCTCACTCAACCACCCTTCTTAGTCAAGGCAGCCTAAAGCCAATTAAATGTAGATAATTCCTTGCTGTCCATGCACTGAAACACTATCATAAAAACCAAAAAGAAAACACACAAAGCCTCACCAAATCCAGTGCTGTTCCGTCAGTTTCATCTCATGGTGGCCGCATGTGTCACAGCAGAGAACTGTCCCTTGGCTTTAATGAAAGTAGACAGCCAGGCCTTTCTTTTCCAGTAGAGCTGGGTGTGTTTGAACCGCCAACCTTCAGGTTAGTTGTGGAGGGCAAACCGTTTACTCCTCCCAGAGACCTCCAAGTAGCGTAACAGCCAACCCAAATTCAGAAGGTATTACTCTTTATATACAGTGCAAATGTGTGGTGCTTGGTTCTTTCATTAAAAATGCAAAACCAGAAGAGAGATTGCTAGAGTGAAGCACCTGAGAGCAGAAAGAATTCTGAGGAAAGATGGGGACAAGCATGTCACAAGCACAGAATAAGCTATTCGGAACACCATAGTTTGGGTCCAGTTAGTGTTGGGGCAGACAGCACTTTATACTCCAAAGGTCTCTGACTGCTTGGCAGGGAATCAGGATAAATGCTTGCTGTTTTCAACAAAGACAGTTAGGCATCGAGGAAAAGTTCATTTGAGTCCACTTGGCTTTGAGATTGCAGGGAATTATGCAATCCATTTTAGCAAGAGCCTCATCAAAACAGAGTAAGAAAGTCAAAAAGGCCTTGGTAACATGTTAAAAAGGATAAATGACTTCTCTGGAAAATTCATTTGGCTGGAACACTTTGTTTACCCAAGTCCCTGGATAAAAGCAATGTGACTGCTGTAGTTTTTGTACACAGACTTGCTTTTTTCCCGAATCCCCTTAGAAACAAGTATGTATTACGATCTATCTTGTGCCCACTTCACTGTTTTCATCATCTCCATCACTTATGTATAAAACGATCAGGATGTAAAACACAGTGCAGGCTGATTTAAAATGGTCACTCATTTCTTTTTTCTCCTGTCCTCCCCTCAGATGACGACGTGATAGGGCTGAGTGTCAGCATTCGTGACCGCGAGGATGTTGTCCAAGTCTGGAATGTAAATGCCTCTTTAGTGGGCGAAGCGACTGTTTTAGAAAAGATCTATGAACTTCTGCCCCACATATCGTTTAAAGCAGTATTTTATAAACGTAAGTGCTTTATTTCCAGTTATTACTTTCCAGCTTATTCTATCATACTTTCAAAAATAGAAACTGTGTTGCAAATGAGGTAAAGGCAGAGTCACTTGAAATTCTAGAATTTAGAACATAACTTAATAAAATACAAGGGAGCGTCAGAAAGCTTATGGGGGAAAAAATTCCATTATCTCTTCATTCCATCTTTCCAGGAACTTTTTGAAGCCTCCTCGTACAATGAAGTTTTTGTGGGTTTACTTTTAAAGACATTTTAGTTTTGGAAATTAACATGAGATTTTAGTTCACCTCACTGCATGGATCAGAAAATGAGGCTATATATTGTATTTATTGTTTCACAAATCTAAACTTGATCTTCAATTTGTCATTCTCAGATAGAGAAAAATTTCATTCTGTTTGAAACAATAGTAGCAAAAAATGTTATGTGAGCTGGCAGGTAGAAATAGTCAATCATCCCTTCCTAAACAGGATTTTGTAATGTATAACATCTGAGGCTGGGGTGGTTGAATTTCTACTGAAATGCTAATACTTCCTCATTACCAGTGATTGTGACACAGACTGGAGAGTTCACCTTAGAGCAGTGGTATGAATAGGTGTGTGGACTCATTGTTTTCATCCTGATTCATGTTCATTTCTTTTGTGTGCTCTTTTTAAAAAGTCATCTTTTCCATAATGAAAACTGCTTAATGCTGCTAAACCAATATTTGCTAGATAGATCAAATTGTGGGTTACACTTTTAACGAGTTACAGACAAGAATTGGTAGCCCCACACCTATGATAAATTTCATAGTTTCCAATCTGTTCAAAAGTCAGTAATTCATTTTTTTTTTTAATTACCGTATTTCATTGAATCCCAGATGCTTTTAATGATAAGATGCCCCTGATTTTTGTATGACTGAGAAAGCAAAGTAAAAGGCTCCCAATTAAACTGTGAGCTTTGATTGATTTCAGGATTCCTCACATTTCAGGTTGGGGAGGTACATCTTAGAATTGTAGAATGTATTCTCACTTTCATTATCCCATATATTTTTTAAACCTTTTGCCAAAAAAAAAGAAGAAGAAGAAAAATAAATTTGGTTTCAGGATCACCCTAGTATGATAGAGGAATTAAAAGGAAGACTTCGTTCAGGAGCCACGCAGTCACAAGTTCTGCAGATACTCTGCAGGCTCTGAACTGCTGAATTATAAATGCAAGTGTCCATAAGAGACTCAGAAAGACGCTCTGCGGAGGTTGCTTATTGGCTGTGCAGAGTGGAAATTGCGAATTTGTAGATGCTATTTCTATCCCTTAGGGAAGATTAATTATCTTTCCAATCCAGATACAGGATTGAAAGGTCACTGAGAGTTTGTTTTATCCCTTTTTCGGCCCCACAAGACTAATGCTAGCAGAAACTCTCCAGGGTTTCGTTGCCACTTAGTTAAGGAGCTGAAGCACTCTTTGCCACCTTTGAACTGAGTCCACACTGCTGAAGAGAGAGGCAGTGTTAGAGGAAACTTTGGTTAATTAAGGCAGGCCCCCTGAACTTATGTCCCCCTTCAGTAGCATGACTGTAAGTTACAAGTCACAACTTGTAACTCTCTCAGTTTTCTCATCTGAAGACGGAGGAGGTTGCTCCGAGATGATCTCCAAAGTTCCTTCTGCTTTAGGCTTCTGTGATTTAAGGGCCAGGTTCCATGCTGGTGAGCAGCAGGTTCAGGAGCATTTGATTAGAGAATTAGACCTCAGTTTGGCTAGGCTGGTTTTTAGGGCCTTGGCTTTAATCAGGTGAGATTGACCCAGGGCAGAATGATTCACTGCTTAGCAACTAGCTGTTGTGATTGCTGGGAATAAGAAAAAAGCCAAACACGGGAAAATAGGTGCAATTTGGCCAGTTGAATCAAGCTGAATAGACACCCTAAAGGTAGATGCTGGTATGAATTAGTGACTCATGCAGAACCACCACCTCGGGTCTCAGTAGAGATCTGTATTTTAATGACATCCATTAACATTTAAAAGCTCAAAGATTATTCAAATAAAATTTTGAATTGGGAAAAACAACCAATTCTCTATTTTGTATAAGCAGGCAGTCCTTTACTCAGTAGGGTAATGTGCCTCACAGCGCTGAAAATTGATTTAGAAAAAATGAGATCGGGCATGATGAAGAGTAGCCTCGGGCTGAGCCAAGTTAGAAGTGGCCAACTCCATGCCTTTACTTGATCGTGGTACAAGTCAGCAGGAACTCGTGGCAGAGGAACTCCTGCATGCAGCAGGCTCCTGAACACATCTGGGAGCACATCTGGTCAAGGCCTCCAACAGTGGGCTGAGGCTGTGGCTCCAGATAAGTCATGTATGGTACAGGTCCAGAGTGATGAAATGGCTGAGGAACTCACACTGTACAGAGATTCTCCCCAGTTCTGTTAAACCCTTCAGAGCAACTGTATGACCACTGTGTTTGCTGATGTGAGAAATGTTTAGAGCAGGGGCTGGCAAATTACCCACCGAGAGCCACATCTGCTGCTCCTCCGCCTCCCCACCTGTTTCAGTACCAGGGTGTGACACTATAGGATAAGCACTGGACTCTGCTATCCACAAGGTTGGAGATTTAAACCTTGGAAACCATACACAGGGTCTCTATGAATCAGAACTGACTCGATGGTACTAAACAACTGACAATGACTTTTACATTTTTTTAATGGTCAGGAGGGAAGAGGGGTTTTGTTTTGTTTTGTTTTTATTTTTAAGTATGTTTTGTGACATGTCAAAATTAGATAAAATTCACATTTCCGTTTTCCCTAAATTATAATGTATTGCCGTGTAGTCATGGCATATTTTTTTCAGAGTGTCTGTGGATGCTTACATGCTACATTGGCAGTTCGTGGTTGCTACAGAGACTGCAAAAGCCTAAATATTTACTGTCTCGCCTTTGCAGTAAAAGTTTGCGTACCCCTGGCTCCAAGCATTTCTATATTCCTGCTCTACCGAGTCAAGCCTAAGGCCAACACAGCATGCTCTGTTGCTCAGGAGACTTTGTGTTCTGACTTTTCTGTTCACCCATCTCCATCACCTTTCAAAATGGTAGCATCTCAGCCTCTCAGCTGTGGCTGCCCCAGACTGTCCCTCACACCTACAAAGAAAAGAAACCGTTGGGCAGCCCCGAGCTCCTAATTGATCCTGTGGGGCCCAGCACCACTGTCCTACAGCTCGCCTCAGCTTAGACTCTGTATGTCATTGCCGAGTAGACCACATTTTATTTAGCCTCTGCCCTGAAAATCCTTCTTTTAAAAGAAATCATAAAAGTGAAATATTTGTATAGTCATAGCTGTGAGAAATACTCATTTAACTTAGCTCAGGTGACTGGCCACTCTAGGAAGTTGGCAAACCCAGGGGAACCCTGGGGCTATGACTTGGCCTTCCTCCAGTGGTTTATCCAAGTGAAAGGTTAGGTTGAGGTAAATAAGCATCCAGGATGATCCTGAGGAGAAAATAGTCACATGCCACACATTCCCCCCATAGTCCCCTTACAACAGACTGAAGAATCTAGTCTACATTAAAAACAGATGAGGCCAAAGGCACTTGGCTGCTAACCAAAAGGTTGATGGTTCCAGTCTGCCCAGAGGTGCTTCAGAAGAAAGACCTGGCCATTTTACTTCTGCAAAACCACCCATGGAAAACCCTGTGGAGCACATTTCTGTCCCGACACACATGATGTTGCCAAGAGTTGGAAATGACCTTATTTTTTAAGAAGCAAAAAGGCCCACCTGTGTCTTTGCCCACCTAGAGAACACAGTTCACTGGGGTGGGGCAGAGTGTCTGGGAATAGAGTCCATCAAATCTGGAGTCACCCCTGGTGATGTCATCAGACCCAGGCCTCAGGAGCTTTTCCACTTGAAGAAAAGGGGATCTGAGGCCTGCCCTTCTTCATAATGGTTAGCCAAGTTCAGAAAGTAGATTTTTATAAAAACTTGACCTTTTGCCTTGAAGGAAATGTTACATATTTCCTAATTCCCCCTCCCACACCCCACCAACCTCAACTTTAAAAAGCTGTAGACCTTTTGAAAAATTTTTGGTAGTTTAAATGTTTAATTCTAAAATCCCTAATTTTAATTAGTCATTTTGTAAGCCAGAAAATGGAGCTAAAAATCTACTGAAGAGAAAAATCCAACTTGGGGGGGGGGGGGGAGGGAGGACAAAAACAGGATCCATCAATTTTATTAAATGTCATTTCCCTGAATGTGAGTTCAGAGGTGGGGAAGGGCATAATAAAATTGGTACCACCCTTGTATTGTTCTTGGTTTGGCTTTATTTTTTATTTCATTTTTGAGATAGGCTTTGGGAGGGCCTTGTCTTGGGGAACTTGAGGGTCCTCCCTAACCCCCCCATGCATTCTCTGGGGTACGTTTTCCCCTACAGCATTTACCGCCAGCCCAACATACCTACCCCCTTCATCAGCTTGTCAGGATGACTCATTCTCTTGGCCACAGCAAGAAGAAACAGGCAGCATGTCCATTGTTTGTTTATTCCTTGTTTTAATTTTCATTATTATGTTTCTCAGGAAATGCACGCCTTAGCTAACAGTTACTGGCAAAAAGGTATTTGAATTCTTGCCAACATTTGGGGAAACTGAATGAGATGCCTAGTGGAAGGTTGCCCCATCCTTTGCTTAAAGTTTTCTTTCCTTTTTTTCTTTTTTGTTTTTTTCTGTCCTTTAGCCCATGAAGAGCATCATGCTTTTGAAGGTGGACGTGGAAAACACTAATTCTTTATCCTTTGCTGATTGGTTTTGGAAACGGTCTTAACAGGAGGGACAGTGAAGAGACGACTTGCCGAAGCTCCCCATGCTGGTCAATTTAGGGTGGTTTTCTCTCCTTGCAGATTGGGCAATTAGCACTCAAAGTGGCAGGTGGGAGGCAGGGGAGATTGTGTGGGTTTCTGCCATCACATTACTGGCTTTCTTTTCTTTTTCTTTTTGGCTTTCTAAATTCTCTCTTCTTTTCACTCTTGATTTTCACCACCACCACCCCCCTTTTAATTCCTTATTCAGTCTAATTATTGTTTTCTATACTCCTCTTTCACGGAGGCACAAGAAACCGGTTTCCCTTTAAGTAGCTCTGCTATACCTAGTTAATGAGAATTTGCATAATCGGGACAATACTGCTTTTGAAAAGCACACTGTCTGTGGAGGAATACTAGCTCAGTGAAACCTGTCTTCTGATTATTTGTTGTGACACATTCCGACATACTTTGTGCTGGGCATGGTTTCTTCTGTCCCTGTGAAGAAAAACCAGACTTCATCTGATTTCACACCGACGGCACACACACATTTGCTTTTTCCATTTTAAAACTCTTTAAAAAAAAAAAGAAAAGAAAAGAAAGAGTGGATTGCCTCCCATGATAACTGTAATTACAGCTCACTATCAAGTTATAAATCAGATTCTAGGTCTGTGGATCCTCTGTGGAAATATTTTTAACAAGAATTTCAATTTACCCTTTTCATAGGAAGGCTTAGAGTACTAGTGAGGGGTTTCTCCCACTAGGAAAACTGGTTTTTGGGTTTGGTTTTTTGTTTTTTTTTATTATTTAAATAGGAAGTCACATTTTATTCGTTGGAATTAAGCTGCTTCTGAGTTTCCATAGTGAGTACCCATGTACGGCTGTACAGACTAACGTTAATAATACATTTTGTTAAATGACCCCCTCTTTCCTGCTCACATTATTTATAGTTTCCAATCATCAGTAGTCTCAGTCGGCAGGTCCCCCTTTCCACCTCCAGTTTTCCTCATTTACAAGCAGGAAGTTAAATATCGTTTGTCGGGTGACTTTGAATCGTCACGAAGTTGAACTGTGAGTGCTCTATCTTCCTCTGAATGAATGGCGTGGTTCATAGGGTACTGCTTTATGTACCAAAGAAAGACTGGCTTCAGTGGAAGGAACTGGCCACGTGTGGAGAGCCAACACGTGCTCAGATCACACCCCGATCCTCTGGATTCGGCTGATCCTCTGGTTTCGGCCGAGCCTCCATAGCTTTCACCTGAAATGGCAGGGGCCTTGAAGTCCACTCCTCTTGAGGGCTTGGTTTGGAGTTCCAGGAGCTAGTGTGTGTTTTTCCATTTCACCAAAGGGCCTCCTACCCAGGAGTTTTCATTCCTCCAGCAATATTAACCAGCACAGAGAGGTGAGGTTCCTTGAAGCCTCCAGCTGGTGTTTGTAAAGAAACTTTTCTGTTCACACATTTCAAAGGACTTTAAAAAAGTTGTGCCCTTCACTTCCATTGGTAGCCACATTAACCACAGCAACCTTCAGTGATTTCCAAATAAGACATAAAGATAGCCAACCCATTTCTCAGAAGCCTGGGACTTGTTTCTCTAAACATTGTACTAACACCCAACTTGGTTTTAGATTATTCATCAAGGATTTATAAAAATTATTCTGGATACAAATTAAAGTTCTTTTTTTATAATATAAGTATTTTTCTGATAATTAGATAAGAGGATATAATTGACTTTATCTTATTATAATTGTCATATATTTCCATGACTAATGGATTTCTAAGTATTTTTGGGTTTGAACTTTATTTAAAGCATTTGTCATGACGTGTTCAATTTTTGCATGGTATGTAGCCTTTGAAGTAAAAGAAATAAAATAAATAGGAATGTTAGGCTCACTTTTTTTTTTTCTAGTTTCTGTTGTTTATGACCACAGAAAATGACCAGCCCATAAAGTAAATTTTGTCTCAGAAACTTTTGCAACTGTGTCTGACCCCTTGAACAATACTATGAGACGGATTTAGTTTGCCTTCTGTTAAGAACCTATCGTATAAATTACTTTTAAGCGAGGACTTTGTCAAATTTTGCATCGGAAATTGTTTCAATTGAATATTTAGTTCATAATAGATTTTGTATGAACTAAACTGATTTAATCGGCTTTAAAACCTCTCATTACCTAAAAGTATTAAAGAAGCTAATACTTTTCCTGAGATACAAGAAATATTTTGTGTGGCATGTGACTTTTGTGTTATGGTAGCTTCCCGAGCTGGGCCAGTGTTAGAGAAAGTGGTACCTGGTGATTCTCAGGGTCTGTGAGATACAGATCCAAGAAATCTGATTTTGAGCAGTACGCACCTCCTCCTCCCAGAATTCCCGAGGTTGTCCCATCGCAGGTACTTGCTTCCATAGAGAAGGTCACACGTATTGAAAAAAGATTTAACAGTGCCCATATTTCACATAACTTGTCTGTGTTTTTATATTCTTTTTTTTTTTCATAAGCATTTTGGAAGTGCTGACTTAGTCAATGTTAATATTTCCTCCCCCTCTTCTCCCACTTGCCCACTTTTCTAAAACAAAGGTATAATTTACAATTAACATGTAGATTTATAATAATATTGCTATTAAGTGTATGGTAATAATTGATAGATAGGACAACACTACTCCTGTACGCTTTAAGTTTAGATCAGCTCTAAACTTCTAGTCTTACTGGATTTAGCTCAAGTCTCCACTATACATATAACACAAGACATTATAGCTGGGAGAAACTTTAGGTATAATTGGGTTAGTTGTTAAGTGCCGTCGAGTCGGTTCTGACCCATAGCGAACCCTGTACAGGGTTTCCAAGGCTGTAAATCTTTACGGGAGCAGAAAGCCTCATCTTTCTCCTGCAGAGCAGCTGGTAGTTTCAAACTACTGACCTTAAGGTTCGCAGCCTGATTCGTAACCACTACGCTACCAGAGCTCCTTAATTGGGTCTGGTAGATGCAGTATTCATTGAAACCTGTGAGAGTTGGAGCCTGGTGGGACTGCCTTGCTTTTCCACATCTTACAAATTTCCCATTATCTTTGACAGGGTACCACTTTTCTATCTTTCCCTTCAGTGGAAAATATTTTGGAGTTTTCCTTGTCTGACAGGTTTCCGCCTTACACAGGTTCTGGCTTTCATGGGTTTAAAATACTTTGTGGCGCTGCGGGTTAATGTGCTGGACCGCAAGGGCAGTGGTTCAAGCTCACCATCCGCTCCTCGGAAACCCTATACAGGATTGCTATGAGTCAGAACCCGACTCCATGGCACTTTAACAACCACCACCACCAAACCTCTTGTTACAGGATATAAAGACTAGGAAGCAACCGAGCTGGGTGTGGACTAAGAGCATTCAGTCTGTCAAGCTAACCATTGCCTCCTCCCTCAGCAAGTCACCCTAGTCATGAACTAATTATTGGTTCCAGTGTCCTCTGACACTTAAGGTGATGTTGCATTGCGGTGTTTGGAAATGACCTGGTTATGACAAGAGGTGGCCCTTTGCAATTAGGTGCTCACTTTTTCGAGGCTTCCAATTTTTGTGTGTACACAAAGCTGGCAGCATTTGGACCGATCACATGGTGGCGCTATATTCCAACCAAAGGTGGTTCTGGCTTCTCAGTGTTTATCAACATGTATCCAACTAGGTTTGTGTCAAGTATTTTAAGATTCTGTTGCATTTTACTCTTAGGGTTTTATACAAATGGGATTCGAAAATGTAAAAACAAAACAAACAGACAAGAGCAAAAAAATAAAAATTAAAAATAAAAAACCAATACTAGTGGTAAGTTGAGCTCTTATCTACTTACTAAAACTCCAGGCCAGGATAAATCTCTCCAGATTGTGCTAATCTTCAGCTCTTTCTTGGCCTCTAAGTACACCAACAGGTTGTAAAGAGAAAGAACAAAATACATGAATGCATAGGAGACACCAGAAATAGTACATCAATTGTGCCCAAAAGGAGAGCTGAAGTTATCACTTTATCCATATTTTTAGCTTTCTGAATATGGAACTCCCCTTTAAAACTGTAAGTCTCTGGTTCACTTCTCTGACATGATACATCTCTGTGAGGTTAACCATTACACATGAAAGTAGAGGACTGCCTGTGTGTGCTTTATTTCTTCAGAGAATACATTCTGATCAACTGAAAAATTGCTTACAACCTTGGTGGCTTGGGATTGTAAGAACCCCAGATAACTGCCTCAGGAGGAGCTGGGAGGAGTCAGAGGATGAAGAGGAAAAAGACAGGGCTAGAGGTGTAGTGAAGACAAGGACACCCTATGCTCCTATAATGCTAGCAGACTGGCTTCCCCTTCTACTTCTCCCAGTAACAACAATCCCACATAGATTCCAGACACATCCGATGAGACTGTTGTACTCTAGGTTTTCTATTGTGTCTACATAGGCCTTAAACACTAAGAAATACTCCTGACTTCAGTTGAGCCATTCCAGCTAAAAGTCTCCCTTTGTATGGGGTAGAGATGCACTCTTCTTCCTGAGACCGTATGTAATGGAGAACTCACAGGCTCTTAGAATTCTAGAGTGGAAGGGACTTTTGAGATCATCTACCCTTTAGCATGCAGAACGATCAGCGGGGTGCCTGCTAACTATGCGGATGTCTCTACCCCAACTTTGAGATTCTGTTTCAGTAGCCCTGAGATGCCTGGCTGTATATATTTGTAGTAAATACTCAGTGGTTTTATACTCAGGGCCTTTGATCTCACTTTGAGAAACCACGATTTTATCTAACTGTTATATGACAAATGAGGAAACCCCACTTCTCTTTACAACCCCCCACTTCCCCCTAGTTCTCTCAGGTGACCTGATTTGACTGTCTATCAGCAATATCATGAAGGCTGGAGAAACCATTGTTCTCCAGACGTGAATAGATGGTGCTCCAAAGTAAGGGCTTTATACGCTCAGGAGCACAGAAGTAATAGGTAACCCATCTTTGGAAGTTCATGATACCAA